TGATGTAAGCGATACTACATTAGAAGATTGGAATGAAGAAAAGCCTGAGGAATTTGATGCGCATACAGTTACTGCACCCACGATTGGCCTTTTTTATAAAGGACAGTCGTATTGGTCATCTTATGAAATGTCATTCCAAAAAATTGCCGAGGAAAGAAAATGGCACTTGTCTTCAGGAAGAAATGTGGAAGACGTCCTCTATGCGTACGCGTCGAAATTGGAATATGAGCAGCCAGCACATTCTTTTATTATAGACACATCAGATAATAATATCAAAAATTTATTTACGAAAACCGAATGGGAGGAAGTTATAGGCACTAATAAGAAAACTGCACCAGCTATTGACAAGGTTCTTGTAGAGCATTTACTGAGTTACAAGAAAAAGTCCCCCTTAGAAATGCGAACACATATTATGAAACCCTGGTTAAACACAACATATAATAGAGAAGAACATTTTGACTTTCAATATATACATCAAGTTTTTTCTCATCTGCTGGACGAATATGAGTCATCGAAGAATCGATTGATGCAACCACATGCAGAGGGGTGGTATGCAATCAATGTTTGGAGCATATTGATTGATAAAACATTCTTAAACATTCCTGATATAGAACTTGTTCGTGGTGAGACGTGTAGCGTTGCATCAAGCAACCGAAAGAACGATGACGAGATGTACAGGATAAAGGGTCAGAGAAAGGCACTTGGACATCGTATTGATGGTATTTTTCAAAATACAGTCAACGACTATGAATATGGAGGAATTGAAGTCGCGAAAACGTGTCAAGGCCCACATGATAGGAAATATTTAGGCAACTCCTTGAAACTCACGAAACTCCTGAAAGATATATTCCATCAACAATCAAGTATTGTTGACTATGATGAAACGGTAGTTAAAAAAATAGAGATGGTTGGCTTGTTACATTCACGCCTTCAGTTGCAACAGTTCCTGATGGATTTCGGAGGTGGTTCGTGTTTGCGCCTCAGAAAAGAAACAACTAGAAATATTCCTCTGCATCTTGGTGACGTAATGGAGCTTATCAGCACAGTTATATCTATTCTTCAAGCAAAACTCCGAATCCAACGTTGTATTGGAGTGTTAAAAAACGAACCTGAGGATGAATTATTCTTACATGAAATTACCAACCTCCTTCGCGTCCTTCTACTCCACCTAGAACTGTACACCTTGCCTGACTAGTAATTACACTAAAAAAAGAAAAAAGAACCAACGGGTAAAAATCGCATGATAAGTGTGATATCCTAGACTAATATAATGTTATATGAATATATACGATGTGCTAATTTTTAATAAAACATTCCTACTTGCTATAATTTTCACACGTGAATCAGAAAATGTATGCAAATGATTTTTCACAATTTTTTCCTTGGCGCATTACAAATCGTAATTCTCATGATTATGCTGAAATTATACATGGGTGCCTAAATTGCCCATCTTAATAAAAAAGTAATTACGGCATTTAGGCAGCCGAAATTAGTCTTATATAGTGCCGAAATTAATTTTCATATTTGCCAAAATTATTGCCGAAATTTTTTGAACTCTTTTCATCATAATACATCATATAATATAATTGTTTCATATAAAAAAATTTAGCAATGCCGAAATATTTGCTGAAAATATGATTTTTCAAAAATAATTTAGGCACCCATGTATAAGTGCAAGGACCTAACATTGTGATTAGGCTCCGTATCTGCAATAGCATAAATTAATCAAAATTCAACTAAATAGAAACCAACGATAACATTATCGTACTTACTGAATGTATTGCATAGTTTAAAAAATTTTTTTTGAAACAAAAGAAGCTTTTATATAATCTACCCTAAGCCATACCTTATTAAAAAATTGAAATAATAATAATAAAGCTTTCCTGCTAAATCACATGTGATATTGTCCAAGCATATTTTATTTTAATTTTGTTATATATACAATTTACAACTTAAAAGAATAGAAACCTATAAAGCACAGAATAATTGACGAAGTACAAGGTGAAAGTTTTATTTAGAGATTCTATGAACGTACGTACAATAAGTAAATGGAGTTCTATCTGATAGAATTTAAATGAAGCTGATCACTGTATCTAATTACTCAATAATAACTGGCACATATTCAAGATGTGCTATAAATAAAAAAATATTATGTAAATATTATAAGTTTAACACATGAGCGATGAATATAAAACGTGTCGGTATATATAATATGACAGTATATGACTTTGAAAATAATATAATTTCCACTATGTACCTAAATAAAATTGATAAAAAAATTATGGGTGAAAGATGAACTAAATGAACTGCCATTAGGGAATTTACATCGACAGTTACTTTCCTACGGGCAGAAAAACTTAATAGGATAATCATACTTAATATGGTTTCCAAAAATAGAGAGGTAATCAAATAATTAACATGACAACTATATCTGGATTTTTTTTCAAGAAATAGAAAAATTCTTTAATTCGTAGACCTAAATTCACGTAAGAATAAATAAAGAGCCCAAGATTAAGTAATGGAAGTTGATACGGTAATTATGGTAATTTCATAGTATTTATTAAATACCATAAACAAAAATCCGATAAATTAAAATTGATATTAAACCAATTTTCAAAGCGGTTTTCATTTTTTTCTAAAGATAAGAGATGGATTCTATACTGTATATACTTATATATTTTTATAAATTTATTTGTGTACCTTCTTAAAACGAAATACATGTCATTACAATGAAAGTACAACATATATTAACTGAGTATAACAATGAAAGATTTTAATTAATTCGTGATCCGCTAAGGAACCAGTGAAAAAAACATTACTATTGTTTTTGCCTTTTTTGGAATCTGAAGTTTTCCAAAGGATAAGTCGATTTTCATCTTCGAACAAAAGTTAATGATGGTTGAAACGTTAAAATCGGCCCAGTGGATAAATGCATGTTCCGATAATTCAGCGAATTTTTTTTTATGCGATGATAATTTATATTATGTGCTTAGCGATATTAATAATTTTTTTTCTTTTAACTAAACACTTTAGCGTCTGTTTTAAATAGTGCACATATAAAAATAATTAAAAGTTGAATTATATGAACCAATACATTGTATTATGATTTAGGTCCATCCAAGTTCGAGAAGCTGTTTTGCGGTTTTAAGTTTTTAATATCTTCGACCAAAGCTTTAAAATTTGAACGGACAGAATTTAGCCAAATATTTCGATTCGGTTTATTTTTTCGTGAAATGTTTAGAATTTTTTTACTTTGATATATAATAATTTGATAATAAGTAATTTAATGTTGACATTTTAAAAGAATACGATGCTACTTACTTCTTTGAGCACATCATACAAGTGGTTTGAATTGGTTCATCGAACTTTCTTTATCATTGTCGCTGTTAAGTATGAAGTCATTATTATCGCATAGTTTTTCATACCTTGTTTCGTATGTATGAACCACAAGTTTTTCCATCCATATTAAATATTAACGTTAGTGTTAAAATCTTTATCTGTTATATATAACGTACGGATAACGATAATGGCTAATAATCAAAAAGTTAAACGTCATAATCACGTGATGACAGCTACATCTTTTTTATGGGCGATACTAGGTTGGCTGATCTGATAGTGATTGAGATGATGCTCAATTATTACAATTGATCTGAGCAAACATCTTTGTTTTACTCTATTATCACACGTCTTCAGCAAATCGTAATAAAAAAAAAAGGCAACTATCCAACAAGCAAATGTAACTCCTTCTTTGGCAACACCTCAACAAACAAATGTAACTTAGGCAATCCAAGTATCCAAAATTTCCTTTTACAGACTTTACGAATATTCGTATGCTGTTTACCGCAACAATATTCACAAAACAGTTTTTTCACCTTTAATTCGAACAAACCAACGCCAAAAATAATGAGGATTATGAATATTAAAAATTTTAAAATCAGGTTAAAATCGAAAAAAAAAATTTTAAAATAAATAAATAAATATAATTATTTTTAGACATAAAAATTAGGAAATAACAATTGTTAGCAAATTTTGCTCTTTGAATTTCTTGGAATTTTATTAGCGACAAGTGTTTCGAATGTAAAAAGCGACGCAATAAATTTTGACGATCAATTTTTTCGGCCCCGACTATTTAAAATTTTATTTCCGATCAATTGATTTAGGCGCTTGAGAGCACCTTAATTTCGCATTAATCTAGTCAGAATTAATATGAAGTCCCTTATTAATCAGTAGGATATTCAAATTTGCGAATATTTGCACCAGTATTTTAATTTTCATTTATTCGTATTAATTTGTAAACATAAAAATCGTTTTAGCCAGTGCATTTTAAATAAGCTATTCAAATTTTATGAATATTTATAATTGTATGAACAATTTAATTGATTTTATCTACGTACATCTGCTTAAGCCGAGTTCAATAATATTGAAAAAGAAACCAATTAGAAAACGTCACAGATGGTTAAGACAAATTATTATCTTCAGTAATTTCACAAGGAATATTCCTAATTATACGTAAAAATATAGTAATACCTGATATCGGTAAGAAGAATACCCTAGCTATGATAAAAAAGTTCTGGTCATGCGATGTAAACAGCAATCAAAATGAAAAAAGTACCGAAATTGGATAGGATGGATATTGAAAAATCTTCACTAAAAGTTTTAGAAAAAATTAGCCGCAGCTTCTTTTTTACGGATATCTAAACTTTGAACGAATATTACTCGGCACTCACCTGATCAAATCCGATCAGATTTTATTTTATTTTATTATTATAAACTTATAGAATTAAAATAAAAAAATTTGATCGAATTTGATCAGGTGAATACCGAGTAATTTTCGTTCAAAGTTTAGGCACCTATAATAAAAAATTAACCATAGCTGCCGCAACAAAAAATGCGCGGCAGATCCTCGATTTTGATTGGCTAACTGCCGAAGATCTTCAAATTTTGGCCCGCATTACATAATTGTTTACTAATTTCCGGCCGGAATTAACTTTTTGACTTTTCATTACAAAAATAAAAATTTTTATAAAGTAAGTCCGCATTATGGTAAAATTGGCCCAGGAACAATTTTCACTTAATAGGCTGCTGCGATTTCATTTCATTAGTAAAATTATGAGTAATTCCGTCCTAATTTTTTGATCGCCGCTCTTAGCCAATCAAAATCGAGAATCTGCTATACCATTTTGTTGCGGCAGTTATGGTAAATATGAAAAAGAAGCTGCGTCTATTTTTTCTAAATCTTTTAGTGAAGATTTTTCAATAACCACCTATCCTATTTCGATACTTTTTTTTTTAATTTTACTTCTATAGAGTTACAGAATTAAAATAAAAAAAAAACATTAAATTTGAATCGATGGTTATTGAGAACCTTGTTTAAAGAAAATAAAGGAATTTTTTTTTGATATTTGCCATTTTTAAAACTTTTAGTGAATATTTCTCAACAACCATCTATCCAATTTCGATGAAATTTTTTTTTTTATTAATTCCATAAATGTATAGAATTAAATAAAAATGTTTACCGAGTTTAATCAAGGAAACCTTCGCTAAAAAAATGATCATTTTGATTGGCTATTAACATCACGTGATCAGATCTTTTGTTTACATAATTTGATCTGATCTACAAAATGACGTATTGTTATTTACGTACGTACGTAATCACAGATCATATACCTGATACTGTATTGACATGTTAATTCGTATTATTTATACTCCTGGCTTTACTTTATAACTTTAAAAGGACTAATGAAGCTTAAACATAACTCACCTTATACCTATGAAACACCCGATTCAGAGATTATAAGAAAGTAAGTGTCCATTAATGTCAACTAATGCTTTTTTGACAGGCTTGAGGTCTACTTGTTCTGCAGAAAGAATCGGTTATGAACTTTTCGAAGTGTTTAAAAAAGCATCAATATTACATACTTTGGATCGTGGTCCGTACTATTTATTGATGCTATTTCTACGAATCGTGAAATTTATCAATATGTTACGAAGGCTAGCATTTTGGGATTTTTATACGAATCGTTAAAGAGACCAAGAGTGTTAGCAATATTTTCTTAGACATATTTCTACGAATCGTGAAATTATCAGGAAATATCCAGCATCGAAAGTGTGAAATATCGGGAGAATTTTATATATACCTGTTGCATTCACTGAGTTGACTTATCTAATTCTCCCGTCTTTTATTTTTTATTTTTTTTTATACAGAATTTAAGTGTTTTGCAAATAAAAAAATGAGAACGGCGAAAAGAATGTTTTCGATTCAAGAACTTCGTTCAAGGTTATTAATGGACGCTTCTATGAATTTCCGCGACTCAATGACTTCATTTGCGACACTTCATGAAGATTGTTACGTTGTGAAACCGGAAACGTGACCGCAGGCACGAGCCCGCGTGATTAAGGCTTCCCAACTCGATTTTCCCGATTTCACCGATACAGTATTCCAGATCTAGAAATATAGAGAATATGAACAATAAGGATAATTGCAGTAATAAGGCAGATTTTAATAATAGTGGCAATAAGGCCAATTTGGGTTTTATGGTAATTTTTGGTATATGGAGGATTCCCGCACATGTAAATAATAGAATCATCAATTATAAATAAAGGCCGTTTGGCTCTTGGGAAGGATAACTCCCGCCTTTGCTTTTATTAACATTAATACAATCCTACAAGTACCTCGAATAAATCATATAAGTCTATCCCTAATTAATACATAAACTTTATACGTGATAAACCCTAACGACTACCAAGTCGATTATTATCTTATGCGTGCCCGATTATACCGATAATCGTAAGCTGTCTCAGTTTAACATTGTATAACCCCCACTATTCCACTTAACCACTCGCCAAATCTAACACGCCTCTTTCGACGCAACTTAACCAATTCTTTGGTTACACGAAGCTAACTACGATCAAGCGACAGACTCGCCGATTTTGGAGTTGACAGCGTAAAGGTCCCTTTTCTGCGTATTTCTAAATAAGAAGGTAATTTACTGAATCATCTCTTGATAGACCGTGCACTTTAAGAACAATGGATTTTATATTCAATCTCGCAAAATGCTTTTAACTTTTTTAGAAAAAAATCGATAATCATTATTCAAATATCGAACGAAAATTTGATAAATTTACCTCGTCAAAAAAATCCTGTTTTAATTGCGAACGAATATTTATAAGAAGAATTACATGAAAAACAGCTGCAAACCCTCCCAGTTCGATCATTTCAATATTTTCAAATTTATTATACGAATCCATAATAATTGATATCTCTTATCTCCAATATTTTTTTCACGTTGTCATTATCTATTTATTATCAAACCAATAAACATGATGTTTCATTAATGAAATAAACATTGAAAAAAATACATTGAAATTTGGTTTTCTCCCTATTAATTATAACTATATTTAATATCTATTAAAAATTTTTTTAAAAAAAACGAAATTATGATACATTCGAAACCAATACCCAGCCTCTTTTAAATCCATTTTGTTCCAATACCATTTCGGTAACAAAATCCAACATTTTTACTCTATCAATGTATCCCAGTTTAGCAGATTTCAAATATAATTCAAAAGTTTGTTTTAAATCCTTTTTAACTTCAAATCCATTTAGATAACATTTTCCAAGATTAAAAATCGCATTAATATCTCCCATTTCGACAGTTTTTTGACAGTAAATGAACGCCTTATGTTTTGATTTTTCATAATAAATAAATGAATTATATTCATCTTTTTTTAACTCCAATTCCATTTTCATAGAAATATCCAACATTACAAGTTTCAATAGCATTCTCATTCTTTGCAGATTTTTAATAATAAATAAATGCCTTATGTTCACCATTTCAACTCAAATTCCATTCTCATAA